TCACCATTATCTATTACGTTGCCCGTCTCCTCTTTCACTCGAGGTTATTGAAGCGCTCTATTAGTGAAATCTACTCAATTGTAACACATGAAGAAGAAAGGGTTTACCAATATGTTTATGTTTGGGCTCCAGTTGCTCTCTCACACACACACACACAGCCTGTGGGTTTTATTTATTTTTTTTAAATAGAAAAAAAGATCACAATCAGCCCGAGGTGACATTTTCTCTAGATCGCACATCAAGTGAATCATACATAATGAGACAGTCATCTTCTTCATTACAAAACAGTTCAGCTCACAGGAAGCACATGAGCTCATTATGACACCCTGAACCTAAAGCGCGTCAGATAAAGAAGGAACTAAAAGAGGTTATGAATAAGGCAGCTGCTTGTCTTTATTTTTTTATTTTTGGAAGCTGGAATATTTGGCCTTAAGGCAGAGCTCGGTTGTGACAGTCCCTTTTTTTGTTTGCTAGAAAATCTGATTCTTTTCACAATATCAGGGGTGAGCATGTCAATGAGTGAATTAAGTGACTCAAGCTGGGAACAGAGGAATGTTTAAAAAGGCCTCTGCTTTTATTTCTTTTAAAAAGGTGTCAGCAGTTCTGCAGAGTCGTGCTGACAAGACAGACATATTAGAGAATCTCTACATCTCCTCCCGATCAGACAGTTATGTAGGCCAAGAGACCCATTTGCATTTCGCTCTAGCCCTTTTCCTAGCATACTGCCTGTTCTGTGAAGGCAGTGATAACTCTGGGAAAAGAAAAAAACCTGACTCTTTGAAGCTGGGCCCCAATTTAGGTCATCACCAGACTTGTTAAACAACAGCGTTGCCCTTCGAAACAACACAGCGGACCAGCAGCTCACATAATTTCCCCTTGGAAAAAAAAAAGAAAAAGAAAGGAGAAGCCTCGAAATGGAGCTAAATAGGCCACTGAGGCTCTTATTTGGCAGAATAAAAAAACACAGCAACACCAGGTGCTTGGACTCATTTTGTGGATGGATTTTTATCAAGGCAAGCACATTTATACACTCGGTGCTTTGTTACACCCTTAGAGTTGCATTAGGCAAGTGCAGAAGGACATTTATCATGCAGCACCTGCAGGCCAGTGTTTAGTAATTGCAACACTTTTCCAAGGGTTCACACACAGGTTAGCACACTTAAAAAAAAAAAAAAAGGAACTGTTGTACAGAGTTCTAGTATATGTGCTCCAAACGAAGCTGCATTTCTAAAGCTCCTATTTTTATTAGCTGCAATTTGATGGATTTAAAGTGAAGGTGAAGGTTTTTGTGCTGGTCCTTATCTGTTTTGTTTTTTTAAAAAGCCATAAAAGCAGGTCAAACATTAGAATTTGCAGAATGGAGAATCAAATGTGTTGCAGTGCATTTTTATGGCCACTCAACAGGGCTCAGTAAACACAGTGTGCTCTTCTCATCATGCCCTCATGCTTCATCTGCTCACTGCTGTGTGTGTATGTGTGTGCAGTTAACGTGCCAAAAACCTGCCCCTGTATTGTCGATTACGTTTCTTTATAAAGAAACGTAATCATCATACATCATCATGTGCACCCTTTAAAAAAAAAAATAATAATCTGTAACAGCACCCGGGAGTGTTGCTGCGGTGTCTGCATGCAGTCATGAGCATTGGTGCATTCATACATAGTATAACTGTGTGAGTGTGTTTTCTGTGTGCATGCAAAATCAGGCACTAGATGTGTAGGCTCCCTCAACAGATGGCCTTTTCAACACACTTGCCTCTCGGCTCGGGCTCCTGCCAGCCCCCCAAAACACACTCAGACACACAAACACACAAACACACACACACACACTCACACACTCCTGTACAGAAATAAGATTGCAGCCTTCTCGCATACAAACTGTTGCCAGATCGGTTACATAATGTATCATTTTTGGGACATCTGAAACTCGTGTTGGATCGAAATGTGACTGAGGAGGAACATTTTACATGGAAATGGTCCGCTCATTTATGTTTCATATTGGACTTTTGCCTTTCATCATGTCTTTTCTCTTTGTGTGCCTGTGTATGAATGTGTAAACAGGAAAACACAGTGTGTTTTGTTAACAATCGATGATAAAATACCTGAAAAACACTATTTGGGAATAGTAATCATTTGTAGCCAATTACAGAACTGCTATTTATGAATTAAAAGCCTAATAGGTATCATGTCAAAGATGCTGCAGATAACAATTCAGGACCAGATCTGTAATGAAGCTCTGCCATCATTACACCTTTGTACAATCATATTGATTCTGCTGCAACGGCATAAACTTTTGATATGTCGTGCTTCTGCAACGCGAGGAAACACACACACACTAAAACATCCACACACACAGTGCTGTTCTCCCCCGCTATAGCCCCACCAGGATCCTCTCTCGCCCTTGTCATGTCCATTTTGACTCCGTCTGTTGCCCTGACATTCATACTGAAGGCGTGACTCAGCCCAACGTCCATCCATTTCAGAGCGACGCAAGATTTTTCTTTCATTTGAAGTCCAGTATCAACGCTCTTGATACGCTCTTTTTTTTTATTTGGCAGTGCCGACGTCTAAACTTTCTTTTGACTTGTACTGCAGTCTCATGCTGTTCTATCGGCATCAAAAGTGTGTTTTGTCTACACTTTAAAGGAATAACACGCTCAAGCTACGTACAACTTAAGAACACAGGAGTGCACTGTGATTGATCACAGTGCACTCGTGAACATTTCACAACACTTTCTGCAAAGTGTGACTTATCCTCATGACATGTCGTAGTCATTAACCCAGAAACAAACTGAAGGGCCTGAAAGCATTTCATGTGTAAAAGCTTTTGTTGTGCGGAATATCTTGTAAGTTTGTATCAAGTTACAAAAAAGCACAAAAGCAAATAGAAACTGTCCATACATGCATAACTCTTAGGTATTTTTAATTCAAGGTATTTTGCACACAGATCCCGTCATGTCAGTGTTTATCCCTCTGAGCACTCAAACAAGCCTGTGCAGGTACACTCCATATCTCTTTCAGATGCCTGAACCCTGGGTTTTATTGTGAAAGCCCTCGCTGCCAGCGTTAAGAACACTTCAGCCGCACCACTCTAACCAGCTCTGGCAGTTCTATTGGCCCTTGATTACAGCAGTACACTATAGCTTGAAGCCATGCGTTCATTGTGATTTTCCCTTTCATTAATCTGCCATCCTCTTGTCTCTCCCTTTTTTTCCTCTCCCTCACTCCCTCCCTCTCTCTCTCTCTCTCTCTCTCCCACCCCTCTTCCCCCGGATCAGGAAGCCTCGACCCGTCTCCCAGCTCGTCTCGCAGCAGCAGGTAACGCAGCAGTTCGTGTTGCCCTCGCAGCCCAAAAAGGAAAAGAAGGAGCGAGTGGAGAGGGAGAAGAGTGACAAGGAGCCGGCGCTTAAGAAGAACAGTCACAAGAAGATGAGGTAAAGAAGCGGACACGAGGTGGAGGGGTTTTTAAGAGGGTGGCAGGAATAAAGAGAAGGCGCCACAGATTGTGTTTATGTCGCCTCCTGTCTTTTGGTTGATGATTGTCATATTTCATAAAGGACTTCTGAAGAGAAAAAGGAAAATGTTTACAAGCCGGAAGATGCTTTTCATGTGTTTATGTAGTATTCCTGTTGTTTCTGACTACTTCCTGCGATCCATACAACACATAAGACATAAGAGATCATAAAATAGATGATCCTCAACATTAAAATATAAAGCAAGATATCGATCAAAGAAAGAGCTAACTTCATGCTACACCTCATGCTGAACATTTTCATACTTTTTCCAACCCTTATCGCTCTCTCTCTCCACAGACCAAGATTAAAAAACATCGACCGCAGCAGCGCCCAGCACCTCGAGGTGACGGTTGGGGACCTGACAGTCATCATAACGGACTTTAAGGAGAAGGCCAAGCCCTCGTCCACCTCGACCACGTCGTCGACGTCCAGCGCCGCGTCCGCCGCCGACCACCACAGCCAGAACGGCTCCAGCTCAGAAACGACAGAGAAGGGGCTCTCCCGCTCCTCCTCACCCAGAGGAGAGGCCAGCTCGGTCAACGGGGAGTCCCACTGAGCCCACCCATCTTTCTCAAGATCCTTTCCCCATAAAGCCCCCACCCACAACTCATCTGCAAGGTCACAGGTCACAGGTGGAGCCTCTAATGTAGAGCTGTACAAAACTGACTTTAAACTTGTTTTTGCTCTTTTTGGAATTTTTTTATTAAACACACATCAGTTTCAACTATTCAACCAGTTCTCCACAGTACTGGAAGTCTGCATTTAGAAAGCAATATGACTCACCTTTTGTTCCATTTGTTTTTTCTTCAGTTTTTTAGCGATCTACATTTTTATTTGGACGTTTTGGTGCACTCGAACGGATCCCACACGCTGTCTGAGGCCTGTTGCCAGAAAAAAAATCCAGGACAGTCTTATTTTAAAGAAACATTCAGGCAAGCGTCATGGTGCTGTGCAGCTCCCTTAAGATGCACCTACTTTTATTTTTATTTTTTTTTAGGTTTTTGTTTAACTAAAGTGCAGCCCCGCATCTTCTGCAGTGACCCAGCAGAGTGACCTTTTCTCAACTCGTGGAATTATCAGCCTCTGTCTGGAATCCTTACCTCCCTATTAAAAAAACCTGAAACCATCTTGTACACACTCTGAGCTGAATCTTCAACCTCACAGCAACCCTTTGCTCATGATATCTACTTCAACCTTTAACTTCTCTATCCGCTCCTGAAAGACTTTTTTGATGCAGGATTTAGTCTTTCGTCATCATTTTTGGAGCAAGTTTCTCAGTCCAGTTAACGCTTGATACTGCTCTGTCAAAGCCATCAGGCAGGTTTTGATTAAAGCCCTCTTTGAAATGGTGCCGGAAGGTGTAGCTAATGATTTTAAAGGAAAATACTGGTATTTTTTGTGTGTTTGTGTTGGTTTTTGTGCCAATACTTTGCATTATATTAGCCCTTTACTTTTGCATAAAAACAAAAGGCTATGGCCAGTATTTACCAACAATTTGAGAATCCTCTCAGAGACCTCCATAACTTAGTTTAAAAAAAATCATAGCACAGATTTTTAGTCTATACGTGATTTAGGAACATATTCTCAGGGCAACTCTGAGCGAGGGAAGGGCAGAAACTTTTATTTTTTCAGAAGCTGTGATTGGTTAATCCAAAAAATCCCCAAAAAAGGCAGAAAAAAAAGTGCTCACTTAGTGATAATGGACAGTCAAATTGATTAGGCACAATTATAGAATCTAGTCAGACATTGTGTACAAACACTGAAATTAACATCTCTGTGTGATGAATTGATGTTTTAAAGTATATAGCCTACAAAATGTTTGAAATTACATGCCCACTTGAATGCAGCCTCTTTACATACTGACGGTTACATCAGCATTTAAAGAGCCTTAATTAGTGATTGGAGTAATGTGTGGAGGTAACCAGGTGTTGAGAAACGAGAGTTGCGTAGGTAACTACAGTTCTGTGAATTCTGGATGACCACCAGAGTCCTCTAACATTCGGAATCTTGGCGAGAAGATTGTGCAAGGACGTCTATTGTGACGTCTCATGACGCAGGCTATTTAAGCTAGGCCACACGTCATACCAGGTCACATGACACTTTGTTGATATTAAATACTCGACCTGCGCGTGCACAAGACAGATATTATCAAGTGTTGAGAACTGCCTCGGCCCCAGGTCTCCTCTGGAAAAGAGATGTCTGATCTCAATGGGAGTAACCCGGTGAAATAAAGGTGAAAAAATAAACACCTCAAATATAAACCTGCATTAAGTGATGGATTTCATATAAATTTAGAATCAAATTCACCATAATTAAAGAGAAAATTAGCATTATTCCAGCTAGGCTAGACAGATTTTGGCACAATGTTCGGATTTTAGACCCTCACATCAATCCATGAAAATGGTCATATTTTTTTGCCTTGGTAAAGTTCCTAAGTGGGGAAATGTCCGAGTAGTGTCACAATAACAAGAGCTGGTTGAATTATTTAATGTTAAGAAAAATTGCTCTCAGTCTTATCTCCTTTAGCTTAGGCTACACTGTACCACTGTCTCCCCCCCAGGTTCCTTATAGCAATAATATTTACATTTACACACAGCTCAGCAACATGGATGTCAGGCACAACCTCTGCAGACTGATTCCACAACATCAGTTATGTAGCCTAGTTAACGTACAGTTGGACTCTCTTAGGAGCGTGGCTTTGTTTTACAAAGTCTTCATGAATTATTCTTCCCTTCGCCTCATGAGATTTTCCAAAAAAGTCAAAGTTAAAAAAAAAAAGACACAAGACTAAAGTGTGACTATTTTAAAGCACCGTAATCCAGCAAACCAGTTACTACATCGCCCTTGGCTAGCATGAAACGGCAAAAATGTGTTAGCTAGCAGCTGCTAAGAGCTTGCTAACTTGCTAATTGGCTTCTATCTACACATACAAACCCAACCAATTCTTATATATGTGTTGGGCTTAACTTTTCAGAAGGCTAGTCCAAATGTAGTTAACATGTGGATGTTAACTAGATATACACGTAAACAATAACTTGCTAATATATTAGCCATAACAGCTTACATTTGCCTCATTTCTCCATTTATTTCTTCAATTTAGCTCTTACAAGTTCACAAAATCACAAATGTTTGTTTATTTTGCTCGCCTTTAATTTCTCAAACAATAGGTAATTATGACTGAAACGTGTTGAATTTAAACATGTGGCTGTGGCTGTAAACCCCACCGGTTTTCTCCTTTAAAAGCTGCAGACACACAGAGCTGCATCTGCTCGGTGTCGCCGTGGACAACCAGAGGGTGCTCGCACTGCTCTGCCCCAACAATGGAACCAGTTTGGACCCAGTCGGAGCAACAGAATAAAAGACCCCTGACCTCTGGACATGCACATGCTGTATGGCTGATGGCCTGCAGTGTGATGGACTTCAGAAACTGTTTCAGTTCCTCCATTTTGATGTAGCAAAGTGGGAGGAGCTATATAGGACGCTAAATCTCCCAGCTGAACAACTTATAGATCAACCTAACTTCACAATAACTTATGAAACCTGTAGAATACAACACAGATACAAATGGATATTTCTAAAAAAAAAAAAATACTATTGTACTACAATGTTTTGATGTGGTTGTATTATCCATCTTACCAGTGTTATCATTGAGATTTTTTACGTTAACATTTTAGCACAGATCCTGAGAACTGTCATGGCATGATGATATTATGGTCTCAGTATATTGTGGGACAGGCTATGTCTCTTAGTTTGTTAGCATTGTTTAATGTCTCATTATGTTCACTACACTAGCTGGGACTAGGTGTGTGAACTGGTGAGAACTGTTCAGACAGATGTTTGTTATTCAGTTGTGGCAAAAAAAATGGACGTTTGAAAATATGTTGGTGTCACTTGTGGATATATAATTTTTTTGAATTTTTTTGAATTTTTGCTTTGCCATGCTCAATTGTTTAAACATGTGTGAACTTGTTTATTCCATGTCTAAATAAGAAAATAACAAAAAGTCCAACACAACATGTCTTTCCTTATGCACACAATTTTACTTATTACATCATGAGTCTCTTTTTCTTTCCTAAATTTGAATGCTGGCTTACATTTTGTTATTTTTTTAGCTTTTATTAGCTTTATTCCGGGACCATATTTTGTTGGGTTTTTCATTTCACCTGTTGAAAATCTAGATAACTGGTAACTACTGTATTTGTACAGTGCACAGGTTGCGTTACATCACAGATTGGGCTCATAATGAAAAATATAGTTTTAAAATGGTCATGACAATCTATTGGCATTCAGTTGTTATAAGCAGAAGGTAAGTTTGGACAGTAATTAATTAACTATTGCATCAGTCAACTACCTAATTTTCCCACACTTCATGAACACGCAGTTGGCCTTCAGCTCTGTTGTCTATGGAGCTACTTCAATAGGGAAGACTAGTCACTTAAAGCCCTTGAATGGCTCTTTTCAGAGGTGAAATCAATTGAAAGTTGCTGCAGACGGAGCCTGAGGGGGGGAGGGAGAGGAGAGGAATCAACTTTGCTCAGCGCTCCCACCCTTCCCCCATTTGGGGTCCCGACCTCCGGCTTCCCATGCGTGATGTGCATCAAGTGAAACGGAGAGAATAAGAGGAAAGAGCCGGAATCTTGCTTTCGCCTTCAAAATTAAAGCATTCATGTTTTACAAAAAAAAAAAAAAGGGACAACTGATTGGGTATGTGCAGGACATATGAATTGAAACTAATACTACAGAGATATTTGATGACATTGCTTTTATAGAAAACAATAAAGTCACAAGTACATGTATTTTATTTTATATATTTTCATTAAAATGGTAGGCCTACATCCCCAAAACTTTAATCTTTCTACAGTATTTACATTTGTACATTTATCAAACGTCAAGATGCTGAAATTGTTTAAGATATGCAAGAGAATTTAATATAATAAAGAGTCTCCTTGCATTTAAGAATTTTACAACACCAGAAATGTCAAGGGATAGAGTGCAGAAATCTGCATGGGTTTAAACCACACCTCTGATATTATATTATCAGATTATAGTCTTGTGATCCCCCTCCCCTCCTTTCTCAAGCATACATGTTAAAAATTACATTATGCATGTAAATGATATAGCCATCCTTATATAAAAAAAGGCATAAATATAGTCATTATAGAAAACAAAAACTGCACGTTTTGTAGTTTTTAAAGTGTAGCCTATGAAGGCCATACAAAACCACCCATATTAAAGTAAACAGATGAATGAGAACTAAAAGTTCCCATTGCAGTTTTTTCCTATAGCCATACAATTAATGTGGCAACATATTTACAAGTCCTAGTATTGCCGCTAGAGGGCGCGGAAGCCATATCACCCTTTTATTTTCCAATCCATTACCGGAAATACTTCATCATTACGCCTGGCTTTGCAGTTGTTATTATGCGTTAGTTTCTGTGTCATGACTTTAGCTGTAAGTTGTGTTTTCAAACTCCATAATGCGGCGTTACATTCGTGCACTTTTGTTGTGCATGGTGTTTGCCGTGTTTTCGGGTTTGTATGTTTACAGTAGGTTGCTTTACTCGGACGTGCCAGTCGGTGGAAACGGACCGAAGAAGGTTTTCATCCCACCGAGAGTTCCCGGAGGCAGGCGAGGGGCTGCGGACAAAACTGGGCCCCGAAGCTCACACTGGTACAATAGGTAAGACTGTGTTTTTCTTTAGTCTGTGCTGTTTCGACAGGGTGCAACTTTTGTAAAAAAAAAAAATATATATATATATAAAAAAGTAACATTTTATTCGGTAAGTGAGAACAAATAGGCTACTCCGTCTGCATTTGGCCAGTGAAGCAGGCTGCGTCACATTCCTATACATCCGAAGAGAAGTAACATTTCAAAGTACTCCTCAGCTCGCATCCTGTTTCTATCGTGAAGGCAACATTGACGCAAGACGTAAACAGGTGTGTGACTTCACCGTGCAGACACATTGTTGGTTCAAAGATTAATCAACAGCAGTAGGCCTACGTCACGAATAAGCAAACACAAACAAAAACATTCAACATTATATCTCCCACAGCATGTTTTTTTTTTTTTAAGTGGAGAATGTGATACCAAAGATATCCTACTTATTCCATCATGCAAGAAGATAGCACAAATGTTGGCAACTAAATGCATGACGCACATCTACTTTTGTTTGTTTTCTTAACATCTGTGCGTGAAATTCTCCACCAGATCTTAGAGGTTTGGTGAGAAGGATAGGAAGTAAGTCCTCAATAATAAAGATTCAATCCATTGGTGTAACAACAGGTTTGTTATATATTGTTTGAATTAACACAGAGGTGAGAAAAATTACAATGACTACATTATATTAACTTAACCATGACGTTCAAGAAAATGGCACCAGAGAGATAGTTTGTTCTTTTGCCAAAAATGTTCTTAAGTACGTGTTTCTACTACAGCAGATACATTTAGTCATGTATTTTATCTTAA